AATTACTATATGAGCGTTTGCTATAACTAAATTACTAGATATTGAGTAGCAACTGCTACAGTAGGATGTATCATTAGAAATATTCGCTATTGCAAAGAAATTTGAAGTAATTATAATAAAATGGTTAAAAAATAACAAAATTTAAAAATTACGAGGAAAAAGCGTTGACGTTGTTTATAATCCTGAAGGATTAATTTAACAGTCTTTTAATACTTGAATTAACAATTTAAATGCATTGGTAATTTTTTTATTATACTCTCTACATTTATAATGACAAATTATTTTATCTATATTATATTGAATGTTATAAATATTATAACTATTGGATTGCATTGGAGATATACGATTTTAGTAGCCAATCTAAGATCTTGTGATTTATTACAAAATGTATTCACATGATAATGCCTAAGTCTATTGGTGGAATTTCTTTCAAGATTTCTTGAGCTATATATGAAAGAACTCTGTATGAATTATTTGAATCTTTCTATTAACTGAATATCAACTGAACTTGTTTAACTTCAACCAATAGATTTTTCCATGAATATTATCATGAACTAATTCATCTTTATGAATATGCACAATTCCTCTAGCTATCTTACTTTTTACCTTTTAGTAGTGCTAGATTCTTTAGATTTATCAATCAGATACGAGTTCTTATGAAATGAGTATTTGCCATAGCATTATAACAATATCTCTCTAACAAAGTATTTTTCTAGATATGAATATAAATCTTTATTTTCATATTTAATAACTAACATTTAACTTAAGGTATGATTTTTAGTTTTTAAAAAAGTTTGCATTGTTCTCACAATGATAATAATTGTAAAGTTTCATTAAAAAATTATTAATATATTATTTCTAAAAAAGAAATTTTTAAATGAAAATAATCTTAATATTACTTATCTGGTTTAAAATTTTACGAATTTTTATGTCTCTTAAAAATAACTTTTAAGATCCATTATGTATCCATTATTCAGTATTTTAATCTGAAATCTTCTAAGAACTTTTTATTCAAATTGCTAAATAAATTATACAAAAGAATTCAACTTTATTTAAATTTTTTACAAAATCAAATCTACATTCCTAATTGAATTCAATTGAGAATATTATCAATATTAAGATTACCTCTTATCCAATTTCTAAAAAAAGCATTAATTTCACTTTTTTCCTGTTCACAATCAAACCATTCTCTAAAGTTTGGATAGCTTATCAATTCTCCTATCATAAAATTATATAATTTTAAAATATCTATATACAGTATATATATATGTAATGTTTGTTAATTTGAAATATAATTATATTTTGAAAATAAGTTTAAAATTTTAAAAAAAATTAATAGTATAATAAAAAAAGTTATGCATTTATCATAATCTAAAGTTTTTGTAAAGAAAACAGAGTTAGAAATTTTTACTGTTACAAAGTAATGAACTATAATATATGCTTATATAAAAAGTATCTATTTATATATATGAAATCTAATTTTATAGGTGAAAAATGGATGTCAGTAAATTTATTATTTTTTTAAACATCTTGAATTACCAATTTTTTGTATTTTATATAAAATCTTTGAATAACTAACTTTATAATCTAAAAAAATCTTTTCTTCTATAAAATAATATTTATTTTGCTGTTAAAGCTAATATTTATCTTTATTTTAACAAATGGCAAAAGTTAAAATCCTATGTTTTGAAGCATAATAGACATTTATCATATCATGTGATGATAATTCAAATGTCAATCTTTTTTATATTGTGTAATATCTAATTTTAATTGATTTAACGTAATAAAAAAAGATTGATAATATTTTAAAACTAATCTATTAATATGCAATTTTTTTTATATCAATTTATCATTCATTTCTTTTTTTACATTTAGATAAAAAAAGATTTGAAAATCTCTGCTCTTAAGAAAGTTAGATGAGAGCTAAAATTTTAAGGTTAAAATTTTATATATTATAATATATTTCATTTATAATTTACCAAGTTTAAAATATTTTTAAGCCTACTAATATTTTTTCTACTATTGCTACTTCTTCATTATCAAAATTTCATTATCTAATAAACTATTATTAATATTATTATCTTTTATAATCTTTTTATATAGGATTTTACATTAAAAATAATATCTTTTTATAGAATTCTTTACAATTATTATTTTATTTTAAAAAACATTTATGATAAAAAGTATGATTACATATAAATATTATACCTTTTTCTTAATCTAAACATTTAAATATTTGATACATTAATCACAAATATTATTAGATAGTAATTTAAATATATGATATCTAATATATTTATAATTTTATTTTTAATTTAATGTTGTAAGTTTTTTTTTAATTTTCTACTTTTTTTTTCTAATTTTTATGATTATTATAAAAAATTTGATGTTTTTATATTTTGATTTAACATTATTTCAAAAATTTTTATATAAAAAATTTATAATAAAATATCTTTTTTTTTAGATAGTTGTAGTATCCAAAATACTAAGGATCTTACTAGTAATTATATGTATATTTAGAACTATTAGGTAACTCAATACTAATCTTCAAACAGGACTTGAAAAATTTTAGAGAAAATAGGGAAAGTTATGAGTAAAGAAATTGTGAAAAAACTCTATAAGTTAGCTTGAAATCGTGATTAGATATTGCTAACTAGAACTCACTTGTTTAATACTAGTTTAAGGTTTATCATCTAGATACATCTCTTAAGAGTGAACTCCCAGGGCTTCTAGATCTTAAAACCACTATCAAATTTGAATAAAGAGATTACTTTCAGTCACAGGTACTTACATCACTTTTTTCTTACACTTATTAATACCATATCTGAATCACTATTATCTCTGTCTAATATTAGGGTATATTTTTTTACATATAATTGAAAAGGTTTAGATGTTATCATTTTTATAGAATCTCAGAAAGGTAGATGGCTGCCATAATTAAATTGTTAAATTTACCTGAAAATTAAATCCAACCTCTAAATCTAGTGACAGCTCGATTGGATAGTGCTGTAGCAGTGCAATGCAGTTTATTATTACAATAGCTACTTGAAGGTAGTATCTAATCTACTAATTACTAGTTAATCACTTCCTTACTTTTATAAGGGACTTGAATTTTAAGATGTGAAACAGTATCTATTACAGATCTATCAGCGAAGGCCAGGTTTCTATCGATATCTGTCTTCAAATGCATTCACATATTCTTAAAAACCCAGTATTTAGGTATGATCAACATCGATCAATAGATCGATTGATCAGTTTCTAATGCATATTAATATATGCGTTCACATATTCAGTTACATATGAAATTCTTAAGAAAATCATCTAGTTTTATACTTCACTAAAACCTAAACCTGTAGCTATTGCAGTGTAATCTACAATAGAAGCTCAGTTGTTACCAAATGAACTAGGATTGCCAATCCTATTATAATAAAATAGCCAAAAAATATTTTTTAATAGTTTAAAACCAATCTTTCTATTTTGGTAATTTTTATGATGATCAATTTTGTACCAATCAAAATTAATAATTACGTGATATTTCAAAAATGATCATCACAAAATTCAACCAATAAAATCACAATGTTTTGACGGATTTGTTAATGAGTATATTTATAGTTTTGACTTTTGACGGGATTTATTATGGTTTCTAGTTTCGATGGGATTGCCCGTCAAAACCCGAGTGTTTTGCCAGGCAACTATATCTAAGGTATTAAAAATACTTACTTTTTTTCTAACGTAATAAAATAAAAAATAAATATATAGTAAACGTTTTAAAAAGAACATGGCTGAGTTGTGCTACTAAACTAATAATTTCTCTTTTCATTTCTTTCGATTCGTACGCGATGTGATTTTGATTGTTTTATTTTATTCTTTTTGATTTGTTATGTTATACGATACACCTTCAAAATGACACATGTGGTCTGCTTTTTTCGTTTAGAATCTAACTTTCAGATCTTCCTTTACGAACCCTAAAAACTTGCTGTTGTGCCTATTCTTTATATGTTAGAAAACTTCCAAGTTCAAAGAGGAACTATTACAATCTATTATCTTTATGAATATTTTCAATAAAGCCACGATAACGTATACCTAAATAGCACACATTTTGAATAGGACCCAAACAATACTAATATAGGTGATAGGAGATAATGCGTCACCACCTTAGTAGATATTAATTGGTTAGATTTTGAGAATGCGTATAATTGCTCAAAATTATGATTAAGTCATTTATTTGGATTTTAGAATAGTAATATGTTGAGATTGCTTATTTTTAATATATTTTTGACCGATACTTCCTTTTTTAGAAATATCTAATTTAATCATAATTGTGGTCGAATAATCTGATAATCATTATAATAGTCGCTCGACATTTTACATTATAATCTATATAATTAATAATAAAAAAGGTTGCGGAACCTAATGTTTCTTCTATCGTGTAAAAAAAAAAAAATGTTCTAGGGGGTACCAAAGTATCCCAGACCCCCTTCTTAGACTTTTTTTTTTTTATCATTTTAATCATTTTATTATTATCTTATTTATTTATTTTCATTATTTTCACTTCTCTAAATTCGAGATATCCCAGTGCAATATATAAAGTAAAACTTTTTTTTATTATAGTCAGATGTTCGGAATGCATATTTTATTATAATTTTGAAAGTCAGAAGCCAAAATTGCGTACGGACTATAGTAAAAAATGCTGCGTACAGACATTAGTAATTTTTTTTGGCTGTATGTTACCTATATTAGCATTGTTCGGGGTCCTTTTTGAATATCTCTTGATTGATTTTATTTTTAAATCCAATGGCTAATAAAATCCCCGTGTATGACGAAAATTCGGGATAAAAAAACCATTAAAGTCTCTGCCAAATACGGTCCGAAAAACCAGGTTATCATAATCGTATAATTCGGTGATTTTCTTTAAATATTCCGTATTTGAATTGGGAAACCAGCGTTTATTTCCTAAACCTTGAACAATTCGATTCTCTTTAATTATGTCTTTTAGGAATTCAATACTCGTTATCATACTCTCTAGGCAATTCTACGTCCTCAAAGGTAAACACATCGACGTCTCGCGTGGGAGCATCAAGTTCAGTTAAAATTCGACGAAAAGTTTTGTCACTATCATCCAACAAAATTGAGGAAGTCTTTATTTTATATTGATGAAAGATTTCTGGCAAAAGATATCTGCATTATGCTGTTTGCATAAGACGAAATTTAGGATATTGTTGAGATCAGTGACAATAATCCAATATTCTTTGTATGTTGATTGAACCAATTAGCTCAATCTCAATTTGCAAAGGTTGAAATGCATAATATGTGACATTTCTTCTTTCACTCGATCCTGATATGATTGCTTTACAAATTGAAGTCGTTTTGATATGGAACTTTATAAGAAATTTCAATTGTTTCGATATTTCGAAGAAATAATCATTGGGAGGAAATTGTTGATTTAAGTTGGGTGAATAATGCTAAGATCTGTACCGTAGTATAAATAATGTCGGATGTATCACTTGGTTTGTTTCCTAAGTGGAATTCGAAAGAGTGTCCCTTCAAAGTCAATCGAAAAATTATGCCTTCGATGCCTATATAAGGAGCCAATCGGTCCTTATCTGCAATGTCATTTGTTGGGAAAGGGCAAATGATGTCACGCCTCGTTTTCTTGGCAAGAATTTCTCGAGAGGATCCAAAAACGCAATAAAATCGCCGCTGATGAAATTCGGAACATCAGTAAAGTGGTAATATGAGTTAAAGCCTAACCCATGTTTTCCCGAACTTTGTCTCATCGCGTTGCTTCCCGCTAACACGTATCTTTATAAGAAATTCAAAATCGGTTGTCTCGAATTTAGCATTATTGAAAAACAAAATGGCGTGGCCTTGCCAAACCTTTATTTCATTACAAAGTAGAGTATTTTCAGGGGTGCGAACGTCCGTCGATAATTGCATGAAACCGAGTAGCTCCAGCATCATCGGCTTTTTTTTTTACGTATGATATTCAAAGAATGCAAATCCCATAGTCATCAGATAAAATTCACTTACTACCATTTTGAAGGAATTCTTTAAATATGCTTTGGTAGGGATAATCCTTGTAAATATTAAGTATATAAAGTATTGAATTTCAAATTCATTTGTTTACAATACAATTTAAGAATATGAATGAACAATGCATTCGATTAAGAAATCGATCACACGTGATCAATTAAGTAATTCGATTTTTTAATTTTTTTAATCGATCATGAGTGAGATCATCAATTATGATTTTTTTCATCCCAGATAAAATTCATGAATCAAAGAATATATATTATTTATTTATTTATGAAACTAAATAATGAAATATGCAGTTGTTAGATCTTCGTATCGTCTTTAGATCCCATTAATTTTTCAATAATATAAAATACTGAAATATTCTATTAAATAGAAAATTATTGCTCTTAGAAGATTGAACTAATAACCCATTTGGATTAGAAGCTTCCGATTAAATTTAATCTATTGGAAGCATAAAATGCATATTACTGTTTATGGGTATGTTAGATAGTTTAATATCTTGACTTTTCATATGATTAATTTATCGACCTTCCCATTGTATAAAAAAGAAGTTGCTAATATAAGTTCAACGTTAATGTTGTATTTTTTTTTTGTAATAATGATAATTTTTATAAGTGGATAATATAATGTGAATTATTATTGTATTTAATCTCGCTGCAATTTGTAAAACTATTAAAGGATATTTCTATTTATAATAATTTAAAAAATTTATGATCTTACAAATAAAATTAAAAGTTAATTTTAATTATGGAACGTAATTAATTACATTAATTATGGAAGTTAGGCTAGGCAAAAATTATTTTTTAGATACTCGTAACCCGGCCGCCTCAGTTTTCCCAAAAATTCTCGATTATTTTTTATAGTAAAATATTTTATCGCGGTAACTTTATATATACTTTACAATAAATTCAACACGATTTTCGCGACTTTTATTCCACGTATTTACTTGATTGAAACTGTTACCTTCGATCAATTCATTAAAATATGTGTAGCTGTTCTCAAGAATTTTTTGGTGGTAATAAAATTTGAAAGATATTTAAGCATTGACGAATATCTTATTAATATGCATTAATTTGTATTCATACCTGGTACATTGGTTTAAAATTTTAATTTTATTTATGTAATAGTAAAAAATAATAATATTAAAAAAAAAATACTGGTGACCGTGTCAAATTAAAATTTTATCTAAACTATTGGAGTATATTAGGATCATAAAATGAAGAAAAGAATCTTGTAATGAAATTTGTTATTTGAAATTAAAACAATACATTAGACGCATATAAAATGTTACTGAGAATAGTTAAAAGACAGAAGAATGATGAAAATTTCTTTAATATTTAACGTTATATAAAGATACAGGTTTGAGCTCCATTAAAGAATCAGGTAAATTTGGTAATCTACTTATTTGAGTATCAAAACACCGGAGTTTTTTTAAGGAGTTTGGTAAAGTCGGTAAGCTATTTATTTGAGTATTATTACAATTGAGTTCCGTTAAGGAGTCGGGTAAGGTTGGTAAGCTATTTATTTGAGTATTACTACAACTGAGTTCCGTTAAGGAGCCGGGTAAGGTTGGTAAGCTATTTATTGGAGTAGTATTACAGTCGAGTATAGTTAAGGAGTCGGGTAAGGTTGGTAAACTATTTATTTGAGTATTAAAACAACTGAGTATTGTTAATGAGTCGGGTAAGGTTGGTAAGCTATTTATTTGAGTTTCATAGCAATAGAGTTCCGTTAAGGAGTATGGTAAGGTTGGTAAGCTATTTATCTGAGTATTATTACAGACAAGCACTTTTAATTTTCGATATCTTTGCAATCCTCCCATGGCGTTTAATATATCTTTGTTAAAGTCCGTAATCGTTAAACTTTCAACAGTATCATCATAATCAATGACTGAAGTTTCTTTATTCAATTCTAATTCTTCTGCATCTATTTGATTAAAATTTTGAATCAATCGAGATAAGTCCCCATGAAATGAAATATTAATAATGGAATTGATTTTTTGTTCTGATGACTGAAGGTTTGATTCTTTATTAATTTGATCATATTCTATTATATTCTCTTTTGTAATAATTGCATATAATTCATCAACTACTTTGTTCATAGACGGACGATTATCAGGATTGCTGTCCCAGCATTCTAAAACCATAAATAAATAATTTAGTGTCTGAAAATATCGTATTTAAATTTAAATTTATAATTTATAATTTATAATAGTCTTTACCAGTATAAATTTTTATATAATCTTCAGGCGTACCCGGAATGATACTTTCTCTGAGTCCTTGTAAAATATCAATAGCTAAATCAATATCGTATGGTTCACCTTCAACATAAAATGGAGGTCGACCACTTGATATCTCCCATAACAATACGCCAACACTATAAGCATCACTCTTCTCAGTTAGATTAACTTTCTGTGATTTAATGTTAATTCTATTTCGTCTACCAAATCTTTTTGGATCAACATAAGGAATTACACCAAAGACTTTTGACTGCTGTTTAGATGCCGCTTCAATCCTTTTCGATAATCCAAAATCAGCAAGTTTTATAATTCCATGATGAATTAAAATATTGTCAAAATGCTATAATAAAATTATAAAAATTATTTATTAATTATTATCATAAATAAATAAAGATATAGATAGTATGTAAGATTACCAAATCATGATGTACAATTCCTTCTTTATGAATACAGGACACAGCACTAGCCAACTGGAATGCAAAGTTGTATTTATCATCCCAAGTAAGCCTATTAAAATTATTCTTCAAATAGGTTCTAAGTGAACTGCTATCAGCATATTCAATTACTAACCAATACCTTTTCAAATGAACATCATTTTCTAAAAATGTTTTTTTAATTTTTAAAAATTTATTAATGAGTTTAAAATAATATAAATAAATATAAAAATATTAATATATATCTTTAATAAGCTTTATTATAAACATTACATACTTTGTTTTGAAGTTATCCCAAAAAAGCGAATAATGTTATCATGAAAATCGACTTTGTTTTGAAGTTCGAGCTGAAAAATTAATTAATTTTAATTTGATATATAAATGATTTATATTAAAAAGACTGAAATAGACTGAAATACATTTTAACATTTGTAATTACCTCACGAACTATTTCTTTAACAGTGTCGTTATTAAGGTTATGAAAGGATTTTAACGCGAGAGGCTGCCTCAAACTTTTCCAATTTGCATGATAGACTTTTCCAAAGCTACCAGTACCGATCTCTTGAACATTGCTAAAATGTTCGTATTCATAACATTTGATTTTATTTTTAAAATATATTCCTCTATCAAATTAATCCACTCATTTGAATTATTTTCTTGTTGCGTTTTGATTTTTTTAATTTTGTAAAATGATAAAAATTCTTGGTGAAAAAGCAAAAAAAAAAAAAAAAATAAAGCACTTGGTAAATCATGTAATGTTAAGCTTCTAAGCCACTGGTTCAATAATGGCCAGTGTAACAGTAATTTCGGGTATATATATAAACTGTACTGTATGGTCAGCTAAATTGTCCTGTACGAAAATGATAACAACCAATTATATTTTATTGTACGATAAATATAAAAAATTAAAATAGTGTACAATAAGTTATGATTGGCTGAAATACTTTCGTACAATCCCAGTAATTTCTAAGGGCGTTCTCACCTGCATAATTTTTTTCATCAAAATGGTAACTCATTGATCTGCAAAATCAATCTCCGACTAATTAAAATTTTATTTCCAATCCATTGAGTTAGGTGTTTGAGAACGCCTAAATAATTTTTTTCTTTATTAGGGTGAAGAATAATTGTATAGCTTTTTCCTGGATTTGTGGTTTAAATGAGAAGCCTACTTCATTTGTCGAACCTATATAGGAGGTTTGCTATTAAATCGAGTTACGAACTTACATATGGGCTGATTTGTCTCGTATCACTAATTAAATTTTAGTGATAAATATGAATTTTGATCGACATGCCGATCAAAATAGTGATAA